CACATGAGTCTCGAGACTCCCCAGGCGATCGTAGAAGTCCTGGATGGTTGGTAACGATACTACCAGGTATTGTTACTTTCGAACTATCCCGAGTCACCTTTTGTGGTTCGTGCGACCGGCAACGATACTTGTGGGTCGTCCGACTGGCAACGATACTTCTGGTTCTTCGATCGGATCTCTCCATATGTCGTAGAGTCTTGTGGACCCAATACGGCTTTTTAACCTCATTTGCTGGGAGCACCCTCGAAGGAGCGTATTTCATGGATCTTATCCGAAGGCAAATCTCTTTTTGGTGGCATGGTTGTTTTTTCCTAGGCATATATATACCCGTACTTCCTATATGCCTATATGGGAATCCCAGTCCTCCCAGGAATCCCAATCCTCCCAAGGAATCCCAACCTTTCCCAGGAAACTCCTAGCAATGCTTAGCAATGCTTAGCAAATACTTAGCAATGCTTAGCAATGCTTAGCAAATACTTAGCAATGCTTAGCAATGCTTAGCAAATGCTTAGCAAATACTTAGCAATGCTTAGCAATGCTTAGCAAATACTTAGCAAATGCTTAGCAATGCTTAGCAAATGCTTAGCAATACTTAGCAAAACAAGCAAACTTCTAGGTTCTGTCTAGTGTACCCTAGTATGTCTAGTGTGCCCCAGATTCCCATATAGACAATATTTTGCGAATGTAGATATACTGCGCAACCAAATGCCCCCAAAAAGACAACTATCGCAATACCAAGTGGAGGAGATTCGCAAGATGAGTGGAAAAGTCCCAGCACAAGAAACGAGACAACGATTCGGCATCGGTTCCAATCGACTACGCAAAATATGGAATACAGCCTCTGGAGGGAAAGCGTCGACCCCTAACACAGACGCAGCCACTAGCGAAGCGTCTGCCGGCAGCGTATTGCCCGCTGTAGAGCCGACTGTACTCCCCGTCCAGGACTTCTACGAATGCTTGGGGAGGCTCGTGTGGAGAAAACTGCGGTGATGTCGGCTCGTGTGGTGTACATCGAATGATGTCTCTGCTCGAAGTCGTAGAGGTGCATGTCAGGGGTCTGGGATGTATATCGAACAATGTCTCTGCTCGAAATCGTAGAGGTGCATGGGCTGTACATCGAATGGTGCCTCTGCTCGAAATCGTAGAGGTGCATGCCAGGGGTCTGCGTTGTACATCGAATGGTGTCTCTGCTTGAAATCATAGAGGTGCATGGGCTGTGCATCGAATGGTGTCTCTGCTCAAAGCGGAATTGGTATATAATGACACTCTTAGTTGGCCTGCCACAGAATCCCATTCTATGACCGGGGGTAACTGGTGGCTGCTTAGCATCCGGCACCGTCTGCGGCTTGGGGACGTATTGCAGTCCTCGTTCCCGCCCGGGGGTTGCCGAAACTCATGGTACCCTACAGATTTTAAGGCTCCTATAGGGGTCTGGGATGTGCATCGAATGGTGTCTCTGCTCGAAATTGTAAATTTATACTGGGGGCTGGAAGCGGAATAGATATATAATGACGCTCTTAATCGGCCTGTCACAGAACCCCCATTCCCTATACTACTGAGAGACTTTCTGTAGATTATCCCTGGGACAGAGAGACTTTCTGTAGACTATCCCTGGGACAAAGAGACTTTCTGTAGACTATCCCTGGGACACAGAAACTTTCTGTAGACTATCCCTGGGACACAGAGACTTTCTGTAGACTATCCCTGGGACAAAGAGACTTTCTGTAGACTATCCCTGGGACAAAGAGACTTTCTGTAGACTATCCCTGGGACACAGAGACTTTCTGTAGACTATCCCTGGGACAGAGATACTTTCTGTAGACTATCCCTGGGACAGAGAGACTTTCTGTAGAATATCCCTGGGACAGAGTGACTTTCTGTAGACTATCCCTGGGACAGAGAGACTTTCTGTAGATTATCCCTGGGACAGAGATACTTTCTGTAGACTATCCCTGGGACAGAGATACTTTCTGTAGATTATCCCTGGGACAGAGATACTTTCTGTAGAATATCCCTGGGAGACAGAGACTTTCTGTAGACTATCCCTAGGACGCAGAGACTTTCTGTAGACTATCCCTGGGACAGAGTGACTTTCTGTAGACTATACCTGGGACAGAGAGACTTTCTGTAGATTATCCCTGGGACAGAGAGACTTTCTGTAGACTATCCCTGGGACAAAGAGACTTTCTGTAGACTATCCCTGGGACAAAGAGACTTTCTGTAGACTATCCCTGGGACAGAGAGACTTTCTGTAGACTATCCCTGGGACAGAGATACTTTCTGTAGACTATCCCTGGGACACAGAGACTTTCTGTAGAATATCCCTGGGACAGAGTGACTTTCTGTAGACTATCCCTGGGACAGAGAGACTTTCTGTAGATTATCCCTGGGACAGAGATACTTTCTGTAGACTATCCCTGGGACAGAGATACTTTCTGTAGATTATCCCTGGAACAGAGATCCTTTCTGTAGAATATCCCTGGGAGACAGAGACTTTCTGTAGACTATCCCTGGGACACAGAGACTTTTCTGTAGACTATCCCTGGGACAGAGAGACTTTCTGTAGATTATCCCTGGGACAGAGAGACTTTCTGTAGACTATCCCTGGGACAGAGTGACTTTCTGTAGACTATACCTGGGACAGAGAGACTTTCTGTAGATTATCCCTGGGACAGAGAGACTTTCTGTAGACTATCCCTGGGACAAAGAGACTTTCTGTAGACTATCCCTGGGACAAAGAGACTTTCTGTAGACTATCCCTGGGACACAGAGACTTTCTGTAGACTATCCCCGGGACACAGAGACTTTCTGTAGACTATCCCTAGGACACAGAGAGTTTCTGTAGACAATCCCTGGGACAGAGTGACTTTCTGTAGACTATACCTGGGACAGAGAGACTTTCTGTAGATTATCCCTGGGACAGAGAGACTTTCTGTAGACTATCCCTGGGACAAAGAGACTTTCTGTAGACTATCCCTGGGACAAAGAGACTTTCTGTAGACTATCCCTGGGACACAGAGACTTTCTGTAGACTATCCCTGGGACAGAGAGACTTTCTGTAGACTATCCCTGGGACAGAGATACTTTCTGTAGACTATCCCTGGGACAGAGATACTTTCTGTAGATTATCCCTGGGACAGAGATACTTTCTGTAGAATATCCTTGGGAGACAGAGACTTTCTGTAGACTATCCCTGGGACACAGAGACTTTCTGTAGACTATCAGAGACTGTAGACAGAGTGACTTTCTGTAGACTATACCTGGGACAGAGAGACTTTTCTGTAGATTATCCCTGGGACAGAGATACTTTCTGTAGACTATCCCTGGGACAAAGAGACTTTCTGTAGACTATCCCTGGGACAAGGAGACTTTCTATATAAAACCCCTGAGATAGTGAGACTTCCTGTGGACTATCCCTGACACATAGGTGGATTCAGAATGGGGATGAAGGGCTGTGCACCCCCTGTTTTATCCTGAAAGTTTATCACATGACCATTGAAACTCTCATGAAAAGCATGAAAACGGGTGAAAATGAACTGTGCATCCCCCACCCCCCACCCCCACCACCCCCACCACCACCACTTTCTCAAAAGCTGCATCCACCCCCCAATGCTGACACAGGGGTTTCATTAGAATGTCACTGTGACAGATGCCCCTTTTTGTGAGCATGCAACATTGATCATTGAAAGCACATAATGCTTGCTAGGATTCTTCAGACACAAATAATCTACACTTCATTTCATGCATGAAGACATGTTAACATGAATAAATTTGCACTTTTCAATTATAGATTGCACTGATGCATGTGTTGTGCTTTGTGGCCGTGTCAGATATCCCTCTAAGCTTTAAAGTAAGAATACAAGACAGACATAGTTTTTTTGTTTATGAAATTTATCGAATATTATTATAGGTGCATTGTGGGAAGGATTCATTACAGACACCGGTGAGCAGAAATTTTATCCAAATTGTTTTGTTTCCAGAGCAGTGGTCCAGATTAACTAAATTTGGGAATAGTGAGCAGACATGTAGATTTCTTGATTGGGGGATTGTTGAGGTCGTTTTTGACATTGAAAAAGCTGTAGATCTCAGTCATTGTTCTGAACCAAAGGATGAACTAAAGTACTGAATGTCAGAAATAGAAGAAGACTGTTTTAAACATTTATATCTGCAATATATGTAGTTAATAGTTTGAAATATCTGTTAAACTAAGTTCGGCCTATCTACAGTCTCACTGATTGGGAGATAGGAAATGTAAAACAAGGACTTTACTCAGGAGAGATTAGTGCAGAAATGAGCAATGTGGGCTTTTTTTATGTCCAAAGCGACTTATTTGGAACAGACAATGGCTTTATGCAATGATATTGCATTTATAAAGGACACTTTTTAAATGCACATTTTGAAATTAGAATTAGCTTCATTATAAATGATAACTGCCGTAAAAATAATAATAACGTTAATACTGATACTATTTAGGATTTAGTTGCCATGGAGTCTCACTATCACTATTAAACAAACAGGTAGGATGGGTTATCTCAAAAGCAAAACCAGGACGTTTATGGGGTCAGGCTGGGGGATAGAGATATCAGTGAAGATAAGATAATCCTTTAGTCTAGGGGAATTAAACTGGGGAAGTAAATAACATGTCGTAACAATTTACAAATAATATCCAGTCCTGTTGATGTTTGGGTGGTCATGCCACCTACCTATATATTTTGGGACATTTAATACGATGGCTGATTTATGCTTTTCTATGGGTATCATACATTTTCCATACCTCAACATTAACTTTATGAAAGACAGACAAGTAAAACGTAAATCCATAGATGAGACACGTTCAACACACATGAAAAAGCGTAAAATATCTTTGAGATGACCCCTTGTGCCTGTTGGCAGCACATGCATTTCATGCCAGGTGAGTCGACAGTCTTCATACCTGGCTGAGCGACCTAATTGCCATCTATAATCTGATCCATTGCTTTTTTCAGCTTTTCACATTATTTCTAAATTTTGCCTGATCTTACAAATAAACAGGCTTTTCTGGTTATACCGGTATATGCTATGACGCAGCCCACTGAACACCCAGTTAGGTTGGTGTGGGTTATTTCGACATATGCTATTTGCATTTGTGTAAGTTTTAGGAATACAGAGTAGGAAACAGCCTAAAAACAGTAGTATTTTTCTATTTCCCACAGTACTTTAGGCTTGAATTTCAGAGTTGTGTTTGGTTGGAGTAAACGAGTCTATGAATAATCCTACAGATTTTGGTCAGTTCCAGTATTTGTAGAATGTGTACCCGCAAAGAAAGATATATTTAAGAAGAAAACTTCATGCACTTCATGAGGTAAGACCTGTTTTATTACTGTATAGATTTGGATTATTTTCAGATCATATTGACTGGGTGCTGCCATTTTGTTAGAAGCAAATGTATGTTGCATGATAGTGGAATCTGACTGACCAAGAGGATGGACATTGCTTGAGATAACAGGAACTTTGATACAGTATTTTCTGTAGAATATCCTGATTGGGATGACAGAAAGACTTTCTGTAGAATATCCTGATTGGGACAGATGGACTTTCTGTAGAATATGCTGACTGGGACAGATGGACTTTCTTTAGAATATGCTTACTGGGACAGAGGGGTTCTCTGTAGAATATCCTAATTGAGACAGAGGGACTTTCTGTAGAATATCCTGATTGGGACAGGGGCTCTCTGTAGAATATCCTGATTGGGACAGAAGGACTTTCTGTGGAATATCGAGACAGAAGGACTTTCTGTGGAATATCATGATTGGGACAGTCAGGGACTTTCTTTAGAATATCGGGACAGAAGGATCTTCTGTGGAATATCCTAATTGGGACTGAGGGACTTTCTGTAGAATATCCTGATTGGGACAGTAGGACTTTCTGTAGAATGTCTTAATTGGGACAGAGGGACTTTCTGTAGAATATCCTGATTGGGACAGTAGGACTTTCTGTAGAATGTCTTAATTGGGACAGAAGGACTTTCTGTAGAATATCCTGATTGGGACAAAAGGACTTTCTGTAGAAATTATCCTGATTGGGACAAAGGGACTTTCTGTAGAATATCCTGATTGGGACAGAAGGACTTTCTGTAGAAATTATCCTGATTGGGACAAAGGGACTTCCTGTAGAATATCCTGATTGGGACTCTCTGTAGAATATCCTGATTGGGACTCTCTGTAGAATATCCTGATTGTGACAGGGGGACTTTCTGTAGAATATCCTGATTGGGACAGAAACACTTTCTACAGAATATCCCTGAGACACAGATAGACTTGGGACAGAATTATATTTGGTAGAAGGTCTATACTAAGATGTTTTTATTCTTTGAAAATAGCATCTAGTCAAGACCAAGCGATGAAGTCACAAGAGGTTTATAAATGTTTCACCAACTTGAAGTAAAGTCATCATACTGAATGTGCCTATTTGAATGCTCTGATAGAATGGAGAAAAATGGGCAGAATATAAAATAAAGATGAGCAACACAACATGACCTATGAGAACACACTCAGTTCGATAAATCAGTAACTATTCAGCTTAAATTGATTCAGCACTTATTACTTCCCATGTTTGTGAAATACAGTAGAACACGGATATAGCGAACACGGATATAGCGTACAAACAGATATAGCGAACAAATTTAAAAAGTCCTGTCAACAATCCTTTATGATATCATTAGAATTATACGCGAATAACGAACTCGTGAGTAGCGAATTAACGGCTATAGCGAACTGATTTACTACCCCCAAGCCCAATTAACGACGCGATTAGCGAACTCACTCAGTGTCAGCTCAGTGTCAGCTCAGCCACTTAGCGGTACACATCAACCTTGTTGGCGGCGAATCAACATATTGTTGAGATTGTTGTGATTGTTAAACATGTTCTAGCTAATGTCTGTGAATGATAAATTCAGAATTTTAATGTTATGTCAATATACATGTACAAGAATAAAGATTTGTAGCCTCAGCATATACGTGTCTCTACATCTCTACAATCCAAGATGGCGGTCAAATGTGAATAACGAACACCGGATATAGCGAACTAAATTTCTTGGTCCCTTGGAGTTCGTTATATCCGTGTTCTACTGTACCTTTAAAATTGCTGAATTAAACTTAGTTTAGGTGTCGTCCTAAAAATGTTCAGTGTTCAAATATCACGTGAATGTACTTTAAACACTTCTGTCTGCGCCAGGTTAATTCAGCTGTCAACATTTGGACAGCATTATAAATTCAAATGTCGATGTGTCGTGAATGAATTGTTGTCATGATGTATTTGTATCACACACTGAGGTAAATCTGCAGAGACTTTTAATGATTATAGTAAGTACAGTCAAACCCCATTATGTTGAACTTGTCCGGACCAAGGGAAAAGTTTGACTTATCTGAGTGTTCGACACATCCGTCAGCATAGAATATGACCAAGTACCAACACTAGTGGTGTTCCGATTAATTGAAATAATGGAAGATTGATCGCAGTGACCAAACGACCAAGCAATCGATCACATTTTCTCATAATCGAACATAAACGATTTTGGAACAACTGTTTTAGTCTTTGAAATACTTGACAATGGAACATATCGTAGAAGTTGTCAGGGCATGAAAACATGTTTAATTCTTAAAAAAATCACTTCACTTACTGAAAGCCATGACAGAATATTTCTTGAAGACTCCGGGAAGTTTATGTTCAATATATATTAGTCATCACTTTAAAGTAGCAAGTTGCATCATATTATACATATCTGCAATAACAACCTGGGCCTAGATTTTCGAAGCTCTCTTAACGCTAAGATAGTCCTAAGTGCCATTCATTAACATTAACTTACGACTATCTTAGCTCTAAGAGAGCTTCGAAAATCCAGGCCCTGGATAGGAAAATCTGAAAAATGACGCTAACCAATTTTTTTCGATGATTGGTCGTTGGTAATGAAACAATCATCAATTGTGAGATTTCAACCAATTCCCAACACGACCAAAGTGCTTACGACATGTTTTTCTACTGTAGGCTATACATACGAACAATACATCTTTGCAATAAACATTAACTGCAGTACTGATCATTAAATTAAAATATATTAAAATATAAATTGCTATAGCACAGCATGTCTGCCTGTTTGTGTCTGCCATCCATTTTTTTCTGTTCCAAAGCAGAATTCCTCAACAGTTAAGCGTTGTTATACAGATAGGTTTAACAGAGAACTGGGTCCATTTGATGATGTGAGCTTTGTATGTTTCTAAAAAGGATTTACCTATGGTTAAGATGGATTTTATTGTAAATTTCAGGACATGACCACAAAGCTGTTTAATATTTTCATTTAAAACTTACTTGCGTGTCAGTCTAGCTGTGAACTGGTGCTGTTTGGGGATATTGAACAACACTGCATTATGTTTTGATCTTCTCTGAAATGATGATATAATAACAATGAACCTATATTGGGCCATCAACAGCTGAAGTCTATTAACGCATGGCTCCAGATTATGTATGTCACCTCCAGAAGACACTTTTAGCTGTGTTAATAATTTTTACCATTAAATTTATTCAATTTTGTTCAATTATGGCTAGTTAATTTGTCCATTAAAGGGCTTTGTGTTGTTTTGCAAGTGCTTGCCAATGCATTTATAGTCTGTCCACTGTTCGGGGCGGTGGGGTAGCCAATTGGTTAAGACGTTTGCTCATCATGCCTAATACCTGGGTTCGATTCCCAACATGGGTACAATGTGGAAAGCCCATTTCTGGTGTCCATTGCTGTGATACTGGTGAAATAATGCTAAAACCTGCGTAAAACTTAACTCACTCGCGTAGCAAGCCAACTTTTTCGTGTAAGCGCTTTATATTTATATGGTATTGAGCACTTGCCCAACTGTTTTAGCAACAATCATGTTTAAGAATGGGCTTTTTTTTTTATAATGGCAGCTACGCCCCTGAATCACTCCTCATTGTTCAATGTTCACGTTTTTAATCAGTTATTCACTTATTCTTTGTTCACTCTCTCACTCACTCACTCATTCATTCACGCAGGTAATATAGGTAGAGGAAGAAACAACAGTGTGCACAGTGGTACCAACATTTTCGATGACAAGGCATATATTCACGCATCCTGTGATGGTAAGCTTCTGTCTCCTGTATCCTGAGGGAAGGACGGGAGAGAACTCCGGCACTCTTTTATTTCAACAATTCTGACAGATTAATGTTTCTTTAGATCCTTTGAAGGGGCGGTGGGGTAGCCTAATGGTTAAAGCGTTGGCTCGTCACACCGAAGACCTGGGTTCGAATCCCCACATGGGTACAATGTGTGAAGCCCATTTCTGGTGTCCCCTGCCGTGATGTTGCTGGAATATTGCTAAAAGCGGTGTAAAACCAAACTCAGTCAGTCAGTTAGATCCTTTGTCTTACAAGATGCTTGGGCTCAACTGACATAGCAGTAACTTACAAATAAGAAAGTACTCAGTCATTATCTGACCTGAGGTCGTCACCATAGAGTAGCCAATCACGGAACTGGAATTTGAGGGTCACACAAACATTTGATACCAGTTCTGTCTCCTGGGTTTCTTGCTCAGATAAAACATTTTTCAGATTTCTCATTGCCTCGATTATCTTGTTGGTGCTTGGGAGTATTTTCTCATTATTTCAATTTATTTTCTTGTTATTTCATTTATTTAAAGTAATTTTCGAGTATTTTCCCCTTGTTTCAAGTATTTACTCATTGCTTCAAATATTTTCTCATTGCTGCAATTAATTTCTTGTTGTGTTGAGTGTTTCTTAAAAACTTGAAATTTCAAGTATTTACTAGTTGCTCTGAGTATTTTGTCATATTTAAAGAAACTCGAAGTATTGAGAGAATGATCGAAGTTACGAGAAAATAATTGAAACAAGAATGTACTCCCAAGCATAGACAAAAATATCGATGCAAGGAGAAATTTCGCTGAAAAGCATATTTCAATATATTGGTCTTCAGTAACCAATGCTTGTCGTAAGAGACAAGCTACGGGATCGGTGAGTCAGGCTCGCTGACTTGGTTGACACGTCATTGTATCCCAATTGCGTAGATTGATGCTCATGCTGTTGATCACAGGATTGTCTGGTTCAGACTTAATTATTAACAGACCGCTGCCGTATAACTGGAATATTGCTGAGTGCGGCGTTAAACAACAAACAGACCATTTTAATAATGATTATGGTAACAGGGGTGGAAATAACTTTAAAATTGCTAGTGTCCTCCGTTTCAGTGGCACATGTAAAATCACTTGCCCTGATAATTTTTCCACTATACCGGCTGTTTTCTTGTTGATTTTTTACATAAAGAACATAATAAACATTGGATAGTCAACTGGACACCGGTACAGTGTGATATACAAATTTGCTTGCCCGACAGAAAAATACACTAGACTCGGGTGTCGGGCAATGGGTTATTTTCACCCCTGCGGTAACTCTTTGCTATGTTTTGTGCTTGTATATTTTCCTCAGATTTGTCAAACGTGGAGCAGGCAGTTCAGTATGTGATTAGTTCTGACATGCCTGAAAATATTTATTCTTATTTTGTTTGGACAAAATACGGTTGACTGAAAAAACAAATCCTTTTCATATTGACACTTGTATCCTTGTGTTGTGGCTTTTCGGACACTTAAGAACATCTGTTACTTTTTTTCTTGAAAATTTTAAAGCATGTCGCTAACTTACTGACAACTAGGACAACTTTATCCTAAACAAAAGCCATCTTCTGAGTCATTGTTAAGCAATCCACCTCAATACAACGAGAAGATACGTTGCCATCCGAAAACTTACAATGTCAGAAAACATATAATCTGACAATACTTTCACAACGATTACAGAGTAATATAAAAATAGTATCCCAACACGAGCTGAATTCGATGTTGTGGTGATTTCAACGATTGCATTGCACGCGCTATATCGGGGGAGTACGTGTGAGATCAGGGTGCACAAACAGTTTCACTGGTAGGGCTGGTGCCCAGTCGCTGTCGTGAGAAGTTTTATTGACAATGGAAATCGGGAAGTAAAGTTATATAAAAAGCAAACAAACATCAATATTATTTACCCGAGATCGTTAATACCACTTAAGGTGCAAAATCAGTTGCCTTTTTAACAAAAAATAGAAAGCGAAAATTCAGTTAGATCAGTCGTCTGCTGGTGACAGGCAATATATAAATAGGAAGCCACGTGATCACAACACTCCCTTGCAGTGCGGAGCAAAAAGTATGGCTTATCTTCGAAAACCCATACAAAATACCCGCATGTTACGAACGGCAACAGTTTCGCCGATACGATGCCATCAACACTATTTTTGTAGGGAACACTTGATATTTTTGTGTGAAATAGATGAATATATCCTTTATCACTCAAGGTTAGTAAAATAAAAACTTTAAATGGTATTACAGATAAAAAATATGTTTTTGTCTTACATCGTCGAAAACCCCAGTGACACCGGGATACAATATGAAAAGTATTGTATCTTGTACTGTGGACAAACCTCAAATTACTGGGGACAGTACAAAAAATACTGTTTGTTTAAAAGTGACAGTATGAAAACACAAAGTTTTGAAAAGGGGGGTAACTCCAACATGTAGAAAATATTTATTTTTCTGATTGAATTCCAGCAACGAGTCTACAGTTTTGCAATACGTAGGATGTCCTCAGACGCCAAACAGATGAAGCTGAGTCCGGCCTTTTTCCACCAGTGCGTCACTGACATTGGCGTTAACTTCTTCACCGGTGTCCCCGACTCCCTGCTCAGTGGTGAGTTATCTGTAGGGCATCATAATTCTGAGTAAAGATGATGATGTTCAGGGGCGGTGGGGTAGGCTAGTGGTTAAAGTGTTTGCTCATCACGCCGAAGACCCAGGTTCGATTCCCCACATGGGTACAATATATGAAGCCCATTTCTGGTGTCCCCCGCGGTGATATTGGTTGAATACTGTATTGCTAAAAGCAGCGTAAAACTATACTCACTCATAACTTCTTTGAGTGGCATTTGAGAAGTTGGGATGTACATTATGGAACAAACTTTACGAATAAAAGAAGTTGTTATCCATAAAGTTTGTTCTATATTGTACACTCACTCACTCATTGATGGCGTTCCATGTTTCAGGTTCCACCTTTGTTTCATGGAGGTTTATTACCCTCTCTTGTGCATGTGATACTGAGTTTGTAAAACTAGTGTCAGAATTCAGAATTTATTGAGTGAGAGCGTCCTAACTATATATCCTGTAATTGATTGTAATGGATAGTATTAGTGTGAGTGTTGTGGCCATGAATGAAACCTTGAAATATCAGGTTTATGTGGGGCTGTATTGTTCTCATGTTTCACAGAACGCCTCTAATGTAAATGGTATATGTCGCCGACCTAATGTAGTTGGAACAACGTTCATGTCCTCCAAGTTTCACCCACGGCTTTCCTAACTTCTCCAGCCCCGATTCTACCTCCGTCCCTTACTCTCTACTCCCTTCTGTCTCATTCACTTTCATCACCCATCCTTACTCAGATGAGCTGTTCTTACTCAGATCACCCATCCTTACCCCTTCAACTCATCCTTACTCAGATCAAGCATCCTTACCCCTTCAACTCATCCTTACTCAGATCACCCATCCTTACCCCTTCAACTCATCCTTACTCAGATCAAGCATCCTTACCCCTTCAACTCATCCTTACTCAGATCAAGCATCCTTACCCCTTCAACTCATCCTTACTCAGATCACCCATCCTTACCCCTTCAACTCATCCTTACTCAGATCACCCATCCTTACCCCTTCAACTCATCCTTACTCAGATCAAGCATCCTTACCCCTTCAACTCATCCTTACTCAGATCAAGCATCCTTACCCCTTCAACTCATCCTTACTCAGATCAAGCATCCTTACCCCTTCAACTCATCCTTACCCAGATCACCCATCCTTACCCCTTTAACTCATCCTTCCTCAGATCACCCATCCTTACCCTTCAACTCATCCTTACTCAGATCACCCATCCTTACCCCTTCAACTCATCCTACTCAGATCAAGCATCCTTACCCCTTCAACTCATCCTTACTCAGATCAAGCATCCTTACCCCTTCAACTCATCCTTACTCAGATCACCCATCCTTACCCCCTTCAACTCATCCTTACTCAGATCAAGCATCCTTACCCCTTCAACTCATCCTTACTCAGATCACCCATCCTTACCCCTTCAACTCATCCTTACTCAGATCAAGCATCCTTACCCTTCAACTCATCCTTACTCAGATCAAGCATCCTTACCCCTTCAACTCATCCTTACTCAGATCACCCATCCTTACCCCTTCAACTCATCCTTACTCAGATCAAGCATCCCCCTTCAACTCATCCTTACTCAGATCAAGCATCCTTACCCTTCAACTCATCCTTACTCAGATCAAGCATCCTTACCCCTTCAACTCATCCTTATTCAGATCAAGCATCCTTACCCTTCAACTCATCCTCTCAGATCACCCATCCTTACCCTTCAACTCATCCTTACTCAGATCAAGCATCCTTACCCCTTCAACTCATCCTTACTCAGATCAAGCATCCTTACCCCTTCAACTCATCCTTACTCAGATCACCCATCCTTACTCAGATCACCCATCTCTACTCAGATCACCCATCCTTACTCAGATCAGCATCCTTACTCCTTCAACTCATCTTTACTCAGATCACCCATCCTTACTCAGATCAAGCATCCTTACCCCTTCAACTCATCTCTACTCAGATCACCCATCCTTACCCCTTCAACTCATCTCTACTCAGATCACCCATCTCTACTCAGATCACCCATCCTTACCCCTTCAACTCTGATGATCTCTACTCAGATCACCCATCCTTACTCAGATCACCCATCTCTACTCAGATCACCCATCCTTACTCAGATCAGCATCCTTACTCCTTCAACTCATCTCTACTCAGATCACCCATCCTTACCCCTTCAACTCATCTCTACTCAGATCACCCATCTCTACTCAGATCACCCATCCTTACCCCTTCAACTCATCTCTACTCAGATCACCCATCCTTACTCAGATCACCGATCCTTACTCCTTCAACTCGTCTTTACTCTGATCACCCATCCTTACCCCTTCAACTCATCTCTACTCAGATCACCCATCCTTACTCAGATCACCCATCCTTACTCAGATCACCCATCCTTACTGAGATCACCCATCCTTACTCAGATCATCCATCCTTATTCCTTCAACTCGTCTTTACTCTGATCACCCATGCTGACTTAGATCATCAAGTCATTCACCCCCTGTGTATGTTCTGTTTCAGACTACTGTGCATATGTTCAGGTTAACGTTCCGGAAACAGATCATATTATTGCTGGTAATGAGGGCAGCGCAGTGGGCCTGGCTGCAGGCTATCATTTAGCTACTGGGCATCCAGGGCTTGTGTATCTACAGGTTGGTACAGTTTGACAGTTTCCTGTGACAGTTCAATATGGCTGCCAAGTTGCCATCTTTGATTTGAAAAAATATAATGTTCAAAGTTTCTTGAATCTGAATCGCTATAAGTAAGATTGTTAATAAGACACAGCTAGCATTGGTGTTCTTGTATTGTATAGTCTTAAAAACATTCCGTTTTGTTGGGTTGAGTCCTATCCGTGATTCGAACCCACACTTTCAGTCAGGCACCTAACTCACTCAGCTACCACGGCTTCCACGCAGCGGGTTAGGCAGCTGACTTTGTGTGCTGGCGATTAGGTGCATGACCCTGAGGGTTTGGGTTCGAATCCCAGATGGGACACAACCCTACAAAAGTAATAGAAACTGTACTTTACTGAGAAAATGTAATCGCAAATATAATGTGCTACATTTGACCACTTTCTAAATGGCATTGTGTATTTCACAAACAGCTCTAGCAAATGACAATGAATACAGTTTTTGTGTGAACTGCCCACTTTATTATATAGCATCACATGACCTGCAGACATATTTGTTGCTATGTGTCGCCATGATTGGTGAAAAACCGGCAAAACTATTTCTAAGGATATGAAAAACAGTCAGTAGTTCATTGAGAACGAAAGCGTTGCATGGCTGTATGGAGCTTGAAAGTAGATCAGCTAACCAACCTCATTTGCATTTTTATTGAATTATGATATTAAATATATTACATGAGTATTCCATGATAATAAAATGCTTTTCCAAATGGAATATATCATATAAAAGAAATGCTGACGCTAGCATTGTCCCGCCTTCAAGAGGTATTTTTATTCAGTGATTCCTAAATAACCAGCTGTTTTGTGAATCCATTGCCCTAAACATGCATTTGAATAAAGAGTGTTATTCAGATAAGCATTGCTGATGATCAACACATTATGTAAATTACAGCAATTGAAATGCAGTTATCTCATAGTCATGGTTACATGAATATTGATCTACGTATACTTACATGCATAAATCTACATCAGGCAATAAATATTTTAATGAGCCATAGTATTATTAAAAAACTGTTAAAAATGTTGTGTATGGAAACAAGCAGTGGCCCTTTTTCAATTGATGAGAGTATGAAGCTTGATGATAGCATTCCTTGAATGGATGAGCATTGAATTTTAAACCAAATTGTATCCAACTTGAGTCTTATCAGCTGAATTGCAGATTTTTCATAATGCATGGTTTAAACAGCATAATTTGTATTTTGATTTGTAAAAGCAGTTTGTTACTTTATCTCCTTACATTCTTGGATTCAATGATTGAAAAAAGTAGTACATTTACCCATTGACACCCCAGCCAGCCTCAGTATCTCTTTGGGAGGTGGGGCCGTGGGGTAGCCTAGTGGTTAAAGCATTGGCTCGTCACACCGAAGATCCGGGTCCGATTCCCTACATGGGTACAATGTGTGAAGCCCATTTCTGGTGTAAAATATGGTACTTGTTGGTCCGTGCCTGGCGCTCGACATTAATGGGTACATCAAGAACTGGTCGGCTTAGAGTCAGTATAATGTGTCTGAATGGGGTATTCATGCTTCACTGCGGCATGGTATCTCAGTGGGCTAGCACTATAAAAAACAGCTTAAGTCTGGGCTAGTACAAGCAGCCGCACATACACGTACACACGCATGCACGTCGTCATATGAGCGAAATATTCTCAAGTATGACGTTAAACCCACTTTCACCTCACCTCACCTCCTTGGTCATTTGTATTGGTAACGCATATGTGACCTGTTTTAGGTCATCCACAAAACTCTGTGAATAGGAATACAATCATGTTCAAGTACTTCTGATAGAAAGGTCTTCAACAATGTCAATAAACTGACTTGGTTGATGCATGTCATCATGCCCCAATGGATCCGTGAAGATCCGGGTTAGAATTGATCTTCAATAACCCATGCTTGTCGTATGAGGCGCCTAACAGGATCGGGTGGTCAGGGTCGCTGACTTGGTTGACACATGTCATCGTATCCCAGTAATGTAGATTGATGATCATGCTATTGATCACTGGATTTTCTGGTCCATCGTATTCCAATTGCGTACATCGATGCTCATGATGTTGATGACTGGATTGTCTTGTCCAGACTTGATTATTTACTGACCGCCACCATATACCTGGAATACTGCTGAGTGAGGTGTAAAACTAAACTCACTCACTCAGCCACAAAATTATGTGAATAGGGATACAATCCTGTTCACGTACTTCTGATAAAAGGTCTTTAACAATGTCAATAACCTGTTCCAAATTAGAGTTAAACAATACCCAACTGAAGCTGTTAATGCAGTTATAATATCAAAGAATAAGGAATTCTAGAAGAATGTGAAAAATGTTTTGATGTGACAAAAAATTCTTTAATGCTTATTTTAACATTACTGAATGCACTGTTAAGATCCAGTAATAAAACAATTTGAATGTAGAAAAATATAAATTTAAAAATCCCAATTTTAATCAATTTTTTTTTTTTTTTTTCAAATTTGCCTGCCAATTGTAATGCCAATTAAATCTCTGACAATAAAATACTTGGAATATTGGATGGTATGAATTTAAAAGTCTCAATGTGATCAAAATCATGATTTTTTTTCCAATTTGCCTGCCATTGTAATGCCAGATAAATATCTGACAAATGAGCAACATGCCAAATGAGAAATAATAAGTAATATGTATTTTTCCCTTTAGAACTCAGGTCTAGGCAATACAGTGAACCCCTTGATGTCACTGACTTCTTCCAAAGTTTACAGTATACCAATGCTTCTTCTGATTGGATGGCGGGTCAACCAGGGTCAAGGACGAACCTCAACACTTTGCTCAAGGGCAGATAACTCCAGATATGCTCAGTGAGTAACACCATCCAGTAGACTGTTGCGTCTGTCCTGTCAAATGATGTCTGTATTATCTTTGACATATATATGTATATGTATAATCTTTGTTATCAGGTGATAGGTTATCAGTTAGAGTAAAATAACTGCTGATAAATGTGACTCAATCTCAGTCTCCGCCTGTGAAGATCCGGGTTAGAATTGATCTTCAATAACCCATGCTTGTCGTAGATGAGGCGCCTAACAGGATCGGGTGGTCAGGGTCGCTGACTTGGTTGACACATGTCATCGTATCCCAGTAATGTAGATTGATGATCATGCTATTGATCACTGGATTTTCTGGTCCATCGTATTCCAATTGCGTACATCGATGCTCATGATGTTGATGACTGGATTGTCTTGTCCAGACTTGATTATTTACTGACCGCCACCATATACCTGGAATACTGCTGAGTGAGGTGTAAAACTAAACTCACTCACTCAGCCACAAAATTATGTGAATAGGGATACAATCCTGTTCACGCATTACTTCTGATAAAAGGTCTTTAACAATGTCAATAACCTGTTCCAAATTAGAGTTAAACAATACCCAACTGAAGCTGTTAATGCAGTTATAATATCAAAGAATAAGGAATTCTAGAAGAATGTGAAAAATGTTTTGATGTGACAAAAATTCTTTAATGCTTATTTTAACATTACTGAATGCACTGTTAAGATCCAGTAATAAAACAATTTGAATGTAGAAAATAAATTTAAAAATCCCAATTTTAATCCATTTTTTTTTTTTTTTCACAAATTTGCCTGCCAATTGTAATGCCAATTAAATCTCTGACAATAAAATACTTGGAATATTGGATGGTATGAATTTAAAAAGTCTCAATGTGATCAAAATCATGATTTTTTTTCCAATTTGCCTGCCATTGTAATGCCAGATAAATGTCTGACAATGAGCAACATGCCAAATGAGAAATAATAAGTAATATGTATTTTTCCCTTTTAGAACTCAGGTCTAGGCAATACAGTGAACCCCTTGATGTCACTGACTTCTTCCAAAGTTTACAGTATACCAATGCTTCTTCTGATTGGATGGCGGGGTCAACCAGGGGTCAAGGACGAACCTCAACACTTTGCTCAAGGGCAGATAACTCCAGATATGCTCAGTGAGTAACACCAGCCAGTAGACTGTTGCGTCTGTCCTGTCAAATGATGTCTGTATTATCTTTGACATATATATGTATATGTATAATCTTTGTTATCAGGTGATAGGTTATCAGTTAGAGTAAAATAACTGCTGATAAATGTGACTCAATCTCAGTCTGCCTGTGAAGATCTGGGTAAGAATTGATCTTCAGCAACCCATGCTTGTCGTAAGAGGCGACTTAAGAGACCAAGGGTCAGGCTCGCTCGCTGACTTGGTTGACACTAGTGGTGTTCCAATTAATTGAAATAATCGAAGATTGGTCGCAGTCACCAAATGACCAAGCAGTCAATCACATTTTCTCATAGTCGAACACAAATGATTTTGTCACTACTGTTTTAGTGTTTGAAACACTGACGATGGAACATATCCTACAATTTGTCAGGGCTTGAAAACATGTTTTATTCTTAGAAAACTCAACTTGCTGAAAAGTCATGGCTGCATGTTTCTTGAAGACTCCAGGAAGTTTATGTTCATGATATATATTAGTCATCATTTTAGAGTAGCAAGTTGCATCATTTTAAATTGGATGTGAAGGTTGTCAATGCAAATTTGCGCAGTTTCTAAATAAAACAAAAAACAACAGAGAACCAGAGTTATACTCATGTGCAATAACAACTTGAATAGGAAAATCTGAGAAATGACGCTTACCAATTTTTTTCAATGATTGCTCGTTGGTAATGAATCAATCATGAATTGTGACATTTCAACTGATAATTATTAGCAACACTAGTTGACACATGTTATCGTATCGTAATTGCTTGATGGTGCCCATTGTGTTGATCACTGGATTGTCCGGTCCAGACTTAAATTTTGTACACATCGCTGCCATATTGCTGGAATATTGCTGAATATGGCATTAAACAACACAAAAAAAACAAACTCAGTCTACCAACGTATAGGGTTGGCTATCGATATATATCATTGAGATCAATAATTGTTATCGATTATCGTTATCGATTATCGTTAAATATTGGAAAAGTAACTTTGAGCAAAAATAGAAACAAAAAGTCTGAAAAAATGAACGTAGGAGTGGTGACATGTTTATGCATCATTTCATAACAAAACAGCGTCCTGAACATAATTTAGAAGCAGACCATGAATAAAGTCATAAATTTGTATATTGTGTGAGAAAATTACAACCGTTTCTATCACAAAAGTTAATGTACGATATTTTCGCTAATAATTTTCATATCGATACTCAGTAATAATTTTTCCCGTCAAAGATATTTCCGATTATTGATAATTTTAGTCAGCCCTAACTATGTAACTCAATATACGTCGTTCATATGTTGATTGATTTTTACTGATATAGCTTACCCAGTTGATATCAAGACTCATTTGATTACAGATTTGATGGACATTCCATGTAGAATATTGCCAAAGGATGAAACAGCTGTCAAAAAGGTATCTGTTTGTAAATGAAACTAAATGATGATGTTGTTTACCTACCCTTCCTTGTATTAAACACCTGCTCTTATGAGCTACCCCGTACAAAATTCTAGTATATAATAACATTTTGTGATGCAAGCAGACCCATGAAGATCAGGGTTAGAATTGATTTTCAGTAACCCACGCTTGTCATAAGAGGCGACTAATGTGATTGAGTGGTCAGGCTCGCTGACATGGTTGACACATGTCATTGTATCCCAGTTGCTTGGATCGATGCTCATGCTGTTGATCACTGAATTGTCTGGTCCAGATTCGATTCTTTACAGACAACCACCATATAGACAACCGTAAAACTAAACTAACTCACTCAATCTTCGTCAGCAGGAGAGATTCAGCTCTAATGGGTCTGTACTGGATACTGTTTTCTGTGCTCCGTTGCTTGTAATTTCCAGATAAGGCCAGACCAATTTTATTTATTGTTTTTCGGATCCAGGTGTCGTATTTTTTCCAGAATAAGAAGAAAAAAAAATGTCCCCGCCCAAAAAATATAATCCTAATGTTTTTATTGGCCAAAACTGTAAACTTACAGAAAAAGCTTTTTTAGATTGTATTTTGCCCCATATACACTTCTTAAATTACCAAAAGTAAAATCCTTTGAGTATTTAGGAGAAATATATCTTTGACTGGTGATTTTATTTTTATTTTTTTCCCTCTGCCTTTAGGTTTTCTGGGGACAAAAATCCGTAAAACAAGAACTAAAATTGGTCTGGCCTAAGGTTTTGGCCATTTGAATATTTCTTGCATATTGTCATTCACATAGGTTTTGAAGTTTTCTTTGGGGATCATTAGGGGTGGTGGGGTAGCCTAGTGGTTAAAGTGTCTGCTCGTCACGCTGACCCAGATTTAATTCTCCACATGGGTACAATGTGTGAAGACCATTTCTGGTGTCCCCTGCCCTGATATTGCTGGAATACATACATACATACTAACATTTGTATAGCGCCGATATCCAGCTCAGCTCAGCTGCTCAAAGGCGCTTTGTTTTTCCCTCGTTCACTGGATGTCAATCTCAACGGCACATTGTATTGTCAATCTCAACTCCCTGGGAATCATACAACTCTTGCAGCCCCTCGGCGCGGAACGGTACCCATTCACAGCTGGGTGGACTGGGACACATAGTCACAGTACTTTGTCCAAGTTTACTGCACGTTGCTGTACCGCAACTGGGTGTTTGCACATATTCATGTGGCCATAAAACAATATTCACTCACTCTTTAGGCATTTATAATTTTTATATGTTACTGAAAAGTAGTTTCAAATCACTGCATTTAACCAGTCATAGCCATTAGGAGGCAGTGGGGTATCGTTGTATTTTCACCTGTAACTCAGATTTGATCGATCACATGTGTTTCGTTCCTCGTTGTTTCTGGAACCTCACTAAAAACATGGAAAACCATACTCAATGATTGACATGCCATGAAGCCATTGTTGTATGACCACCCTCAAGCTCCATACAGCCCTATTCTGCTCCTAATGAAGGCATTATAATTATGTCACACACTGCCATGGAGCACTACTAACAGGAGATAAGTCCACCTTGAACATGGTAGCAGATCCTTGCATCAAAATACAGTCAAATTCCGATGAGTCGAATTGCTGGGGACCAAGTAATAAATTCGACTTATCGATGTATTCGAGGTATGTCTATGAGGGTAGAAAAAAAGATGATCCAGTCCTAATTCCTCCGCCTAAGCATTTGTTTATCTAATGATTTCCATATCACTAATAGGGGCACCTTATCAGTTCCAGTCTGATTAGCACAGACAGTGATTTCCGTAAAATCACTAATCTGCCTTTTGAACTCACCCGTCAAAGGCGGAAAGGTGTGAGCCACGCTGGTTTGTTAATTGGATCAGTTTGCTACACCAATCAACTTCTCATCGACTGACTTCTGCTTATGTGGTTAGGTCTACTAATGCCTACAGTGAATAATGCCTACAGGGAATAATAGCTACAACGTTTGCAGTGACAGCGATACACTTACCTGCACACAAGTAGATTGTTCCACTTAGTGTGCACTATTGCCTACAAAGGGATTAGGGGAGGCCAGCAAGGAGAGTAAAGAGTAAGATCAAGAGTATTAAATCGTTAGCTAGCTTATGTTTTGATAATTCCATACGCATTTAGTTCTCACACGAGAAGGAAATTGAAGAGTAAAGTAATTAATAGAGAGATTATTAAAGGGAGAAGGAAATGTATTGCTCTAAAATTGAAGAATAGAGTAATTAATTGAGAGATTATTAAAGGGAGAAGGAAATGTATTGCTTTAAAATGCTTGTTATACAAATCTTAATTGCAAATCATGGCAAATCCCAAGAAAGTCGAATACTTCACATCACAGAAAGGAGGACAGCAGGTACTCTTGGAGGGATACCGCTACAGACTCAACAACAGGCGACAGACGCGTGTGTACACTGGAAGTGTGTTCAAGGTGGCTGCTTTGGCAAGTGTACGACAGTCGGACAGTTTGTTCGAATCAGACCCCACACAACCACCCACAAGAAGACCAGGTAGCCCTGAAGATTGCCAGTTCCCTGAGGCAGCGGGTGCAGACTGAGACGACGCCAGTTCAGGTGATCTACGATGAGGAGATTTCCCGACTTGACCGAGGTGAAGCAGCAACAGTCAAGTCGTTCCATTCTATGAAGAGTGGACTCTACAAGCAGAGACGGAAGATGATGCCGCCACTTCCCCAGACGCTCCCCCTCCTCCCAGTGGCCATGGTACAAAATGCCTGGATAGAGGTCATGGACGACGCCCCTGCCATTGGACAGAAGGATGAGTTCCAGGACTACATCACCAGCACCTGGGTAGACGACCATGCACGGTTCCGAGCCGGACTATGGAATCACCACGACACCAGCGGCCCAAGGACGAACAATCATCTCGAGGGTTGGCATTCGCATCTCAACAAGACCGTCCAGAGAGCCCACCCGAACATTTTCGCTCTTGTGAAGGTTCTGCAGAAGCTGGAGAAAGCGGAGAGAAATAAGCTGGTGCAGATGGCTCATGGCTGCCTCCCCCCCACCCTGCAAGAGGACGTACACAGAAATTGACCAGAGACTCACTCGCCTGAAGGCCCAGCTGACATCTGGTATCAAGACACCCCTGGAATTCCTGACTGCTGCAGGATATTTGATCAAGCTAGCTTGAAAACCAAATGACTATGTTGATGAATGTGTGAAACTGTGTGTATACATGTAAATTACTTTTTGGTTACCACAATGACTTTATTAATGAATGTTGTAGTTGACTGTGTGAAAGATGTATATATGTATATATAATCATGAATCAAATTAAGTTTTAATTACATTTTAATCCAAATAAATGATTATGTTTATTTATGTAAATTTATTTATCTCAAAACAAACTACTATGTGAAAGATATGAATAAAGTTTAAGAAAATTAAGAAAAATATGACAACAATGTGAAAGATATGTATATGAATGTACATATGTATATGAATGACCAAATAAAATGTCTCTCAACATAGAAAGTTACTGTTTTCTATATACTGTAGGCATTAGTGCACTTTGAAATAGGACCATGCCACTTTATTGAAAGGTTGAAGGCAGGTGCAATCAGCAGCACTGGTGCGTAAAGTTGTTTATTTAACACTGTAGGCATTATTCACTGTAGGCATTAGTAGACTCCACCGCTTATGTATACAAGATTGCTGTTGTTTGAATCTCATGGGACTAAACTTCCTTCTCGAATCATCGTGTGTATTTATGAGACGAATTCGTGTAACCAGTATTCAAATGATGACAACTATAACAGGGAATGGTCGGGACGGACAGGTACTTCGAGTTATGCATAATATTCGAGACACCGGCATTCGACTCATCGGGATTTGACTGTAGTGTGATTTCTGTTAGCTTATGCTTGATGTTTTCTGATGTTGTGGGTGTACTCAGTTATTTGCCCACTGTTTTGTCATAAGACTAAGACGTTTTGTTCACTTGGATTGTGCTAATTCATCTTTGCAAAATATATATTTTCAGGTTATACAAGAAGCTGACCAACATTTCAAGACAAAGAAATCCCCTTTCAGTATATTAGTGGAAGCTTCTACATTTTCTAAATACAAGCTACCTCAGTTACAGGCAAAGTAAGCTACTTCTGTTACAGCAACAGTAAGCTACCTCCATAACAGACAAAGTAAACTATCTCTGTTACAGCAACAGTAAGCTACCTCCATAACAGACAAAGTAAACTACCTCTGTTACAGCAACAGTAAGCTACCTCCATAACAGACAAAGTAAACTATCTCTGTTACAGCAACAGTGAGCTACCTCCATAACAGACAAAGTAAACGACCTCTGTTACAGCAACAGTAAGCTACCTCCATAACAGACAAAGTAAACTATCTCTGTTACAGCAACAGTAAGCTACCTCCATAACAGACAAAGTAAACTACCTCTGTTACAGCAACAGTAAGCTACCTCCATAACAGACAAAGTAAACTATCTCTGTTACAGCAACAGTAAGCTACCTCCATAACAGACAAAGTAAACGACCTCTGTTACAGCAACAGTAAGCTACCTCCATAACAGACAAAGTAAACTATCTCTGTTACAGCAACAGTAAGCTACCTCCATAACAGACAAAGTAAACTATCTCTGTTACAGCAACAGTGAGCTACCTCCATAACAGACAAAGTAAACGACCTCTGTTACAGCAACAGTAAGCTACCTCCATAACAGACAAAGTAAACGACCTCTGTTACAGCAACAGTGAGCTACCTCCATAACAGACAAAGTAAACGACCTCTGTTACAGCAACAGTAATCTACCTCCATAACAGACAAAGTAAACTACCTCTGTTACAGCAACAGTAATCTACCTCCATAACAGACAAAGTAAACTATCTCTGTTACAGGAAAACTTAGCTACCTAAGCTGTATCTGTTTTATGCAACACATATTGTATTTGGGATTACACTTTCTCAGTAAAGTACAGATTCTAGTACTTTTGTTGGGTTGAGTCCCAACCGGGTTTCAAACCCACACCCTCAGAGTCATGCACCTAATGGCCAGCGCACAGAGTCAGCCATCTAACCCACTCAGCCACCACAGCATCCACAAGCAAGCCACAGGGGTTAGATGGCTGTCACCATGAAATTGCTTGAATATTGCTAAAAGCGGTGTAAAACTATACTCTCTTTGTATCTAAGTAATCTGTCTTTGTTACACTCAAAGTAAGCTACCTCAGTGATGACCAAAGCAAGCTTTCTCTGTTACACTCAAAGTAAGCTTCCTCCGTTATGACATCTGTTATAGTCTAAGTTTGTTAACTTTTGTATTGTCAAAGTAATTTACTTCATCCTTTCCATGACACCTAATGTAAGCCATGTCTTCCCACTCTGTATGTTAAGCTATATTGTTTCATCTTCCGGGCCGGTGGGGTAGCGGTGGTTAAAGCGTTAGCTCGTCACGCCAAAGACCCGGGTTCGATTCCCCACATGGGCACAATATGTGAAGCCCAATTCTGGTGTAGCCCGCTGTGATATTGCTGGAATATTGCTAAAAGCGGCGTAAAACCATACTCACTCACTCACTGTTTCAGCTTCCCCCTACTGAGAGAAGAGGCCTTGAATACTGTAGTAGATATTCTAGACGATACCGATATTATCGTTGCCACTACAGGAAAGCTGTCTCGGGAACTATTTGAATACAGGTGATTACAACATTGGTGTTTCCAGGGCTCGATTTAAGAGATGTTAACCCACTTGCACCAGGTGCAACCTAAGATGAAAACCTAGTTGCACCAGTCAAATTCCAGTTGCACTGTTTTTACCACATGTTTACCCACTCAAAAATTGACTTGCTCCTGGTGCAAGTTAGACTAATAACTAGGTTGCACTTTGTAATCTTGGGTTGCACCAGTGCAAGTAACAAAGCACTAAATCGAGCCTTGTGTTTCTGTCAATTTGACTTTGCAAGTGAAGTCTTAGAATACATGCAATTTCAGGGTGGAGGGGTAGCCTAGTGGTTAAAGCGTTCACTTGTCATGCCGAAGACCTGGGTTCGATTCCTCACATGGGTACAATGTGTGTAGCCCATTTCTGGTGTCCCCTGCTGTGATGTTGCTGGAATATTGCTAAAAGCGGTGTAAAGCCATAATCAGTCAGTCAGTTAGAAATGCAATTTGATAAGACTTTGTGAGGTGGGGGTGAGGTGAAATTGGGTTTAACGTCGTGCTTGAGAATATTTCGCTCATATGACGACGTGCATGCATGTGTATGTGTATGTGCGGCTGCTTGTACTAGCCCAGACTAAAGTTGGTTGTATAGTGCTAGCCCACTGAGATACCATGCCGCAGTGAAGCATGAATACCCCACTCAGACACATTATACTGACTCCGAGCCGACCAGTCCTTGATGTACTCATTAATGCCGAACGCGCCAGGCAGGGGCCAACAAGTACCATATTTTAACGTCTTTTGGTATGACGCGGTCGGGGATCGAACCCGCGACCTTCCACTCTCCGGGCAGATGCTCTAACCACTATACCATGGAGGCGGTCGATAAGACATTGTGACATCATGTGATCCAGGTAGAAATTGGTCCACAGCATCCCGTGGATGTAAGTAGTGACCTGAAATTATTGTACCCAGGGTCTGAGATTGGGTTTACTGCATGTCATCGTACCCTGCGTCATTGCTCATGATATCGATCACTGGATTAACTGGTCTAGACTTAATCATTAACAGGTCACTGTCACAGAGCTGGAATATTTTAACAAGCAAAATGTCAGCCAGTGTTGTTGCATTCGAAAGTTGGAGACCCATGAAGATCCGGGTTAGAAATGATCTTCAGTAACCCATGCTTGTCGTAAGAGGCGACTAACGGGATCGGGTGGTCAGGCTCGCTGACTTGGTTGACACATGTCATCATATCCCAGTAATGTAGATTGATGATCATGCTATTGATCACTGGATTTTCTGGTCCAGACTCAATTATTTACAGACCGCCACCATGTAGCTGGAATAGCTGGAATATTGCTGAGTGAAGTGTAAAACTAAACTCACTCACTCAAAGCTGGTGAATGCGTGAAGTACCGAGTATCGATGACTCATCTAGAACTAATCGATAATAAATGACCATAGTGACTGTATAGGTAACTCAAACTTGAAGACCATGACTGTCAACCACTGGACATGACGTGGACAGTGTGCTGTGTTTTAGGTCACTTTTCTCAATATTTTGTATGTTTTTCAGAGAAGCCAAAGGAGAAGGTCATGAGAAGGAATTCCTCACTGTGGGGTCCATGGGTCATGCGTCTTCTATAGCACTGGGCATTGCTAACTTCCAGCCGCACAGGAAGGTAGGCACATTTCCTGAATACCTGAATGAGCTCCCTGAATCAGTGAGACGGACATTTACAGGTCATTAAGTTCCCTTTCTGTAAAACACATCGACTCACTAGTGAAATACTTCTGAATCTAATACACACACTCACGGACTGTCTGAAAAGTACTCCCATAGCTGAAAACTATAGTGCGTTTTGCTCAAAAACGGACTGATGAATTGAAATCTAACTCGAAAACTAATGAATATATAATACTCAATGAAACGCTGATCATAATCAAAACATCAGACCAACTCTGTGATTTGTGTGCAGAATTTATGTCCTAAAATTAAAAAAGTTGTTTAACAAACTATCATTAAAATATTGACACAGTTCACTATTTTGCACGAGGGAGGTTAAACAACTTTTTAAATTTTTCATTGAGTGTTATATGTTTATTAGTTTTCGAGTTAGATTGCAATTCATCGGTCCGCTTTTGAGCCAAACGGACTATATACACTGACATGTTAGTGAAATACTCACCCATCTAAACTATATGCTGACCTCTCCATAACATACTCATCCATCTCAAAAATGATACACAGACTTGTCCGTAAAACACTCCCCCATGTAAACGCCATGCACTGACTTCAGTCAGTTACTCTAAAACCTCTTTTTCAAACAAATTTTGGTTCAAGAATACGACACATAAGCATTTAACATAATTCAATTTATTTATCATTAAAATGCCACTTGCAATGTCATACAAATTTTACGAAATCAGTGAACTTCGTATGGTATCAGACCATGTGAAAGTAAGGTCGCTTGTTTTGTAAAATTTGCATCTAATGAGAACTTGGGTACGGGTACTATTTTATGTGTTTGCCACACTGAAGATATTCTCTTGGGATTAGTACACTGTGGATGTATAGACAAGATTGATCCAGAGAGAATAATCCTGAAGTTGTATTGGCTGTTTGCAGTGTATGAAATAAGGCCCGTCCGACCACCTGAGAAGGGTTCGATTTCAGACGGACGGTCTAAATTTACAACTAGTTGGCCCGATGGTCTCAGGGGTGGAAATAACTTTAAAATTGCTAGTGTACTGCAGTACAGTGGCCACATGTAAAATCACTTGCCCTGATAATTTTTCAACTATACTGGCCGTTTTCTTGTTGATTTTTAAATAAACAACATAATTAATATTGGAAAGTCAACTGGACACCGGTACAGTGTGATATACAAATTTGCTTGCCGGACAGAAAAAAACACTGGACTCGGGCGTCGGGCAATGGGTTATTTCAACCCCTGCGGTCTGGTAAATTTTTTAGATGTTCCATACATCTGAGTAAATTCGCCATATGTTGGTGTCTGGTCTGGTTCAATCCACTCTGGTTAAATCCATCCTGATGTCTGGCTGGGTTTGGGGCTTATTTCATACACTGCTGTTTTACTTACACATTCTTGCTTGCTCTCACAGGTTGTATGTCTAGACGGTGATGGTGCGGCACTGATGCATCTTGGTGCCTTTTCAACTGTTGGCCAGAGGGGGCCTTCAAACTTCAAACATATTATCTTCAACAATGGATGTCATGATTCTGTTGGCGGTCAACCTACAGAAGCAAGCCACCATGACACATTTTCATTTGGTGGTGTAGCACGGGCCTGCGGATACAGAAAGGTAGGTCTTTGAGAGACACATTCTCTCTTGGTGGTGTAGCTCAGGTCTGTGGGTATAGGAGGTGGGTTTCTTAGAGACACATTCTCTCTTGGTGGTGTAGCTCAGGTCTGTGGGTATAGAATGTGGGTTTCTTAGAGACACATTCTCTCTTGGTGGTGTAGCTCAGGTCTGTGGATACCGGAAGGTGGGTTTCCTAGAGACACATTCTCTCTTGGTGGTGTAGCTCAGGTCTGTGGGTATAGAATGTGGGTTTCTTAGAGACACATTCTCTCTTGGTGGTGTAACTTAGGTTTGTGGATATAGAAGGTGGGTGTCTGGGTGCCACATTCTCACTTGGTGGTGTAACTTAGGTTTGTGGGTATAGAAGGTGGGTGTCTGTGTGCCACGTACTCTCTTGGTGGTGTAGCTCAGGTCTGTGGATATAGAAGGTGGGTTTCTTAGAGACACATTCTCTCTTGGTGGTGTAACTCAGGTCTGTGGGTATAGAAGGTGGGTTTCTTAGAGACACATTCTCACTTGGTGGTGTAACTCAGGTCTGTGGGTATAGAATGTGGGTTTCTTAGAGACACATTCTCTCTTGGTGGTGTAGCTCAGGTCTGTGGATATAGAAGGTGGGTTTCTTAGAGACACATTCTCACTTGGTGGTGTTACTCAGGTCTGTGGGTATAGAATGTGGGTTTCTTAGAGACACATTCTCTCTTGGTGGTGTAGCTCAGGTCTGTGGATACCGGAAGGTGGGTTTCCTAGAGACACATTCTCTCTTGGTGGTGTAGCTCAGGTCTGTGGGTATAGAATGTGGGTTTCTTAGAGACACATTCTCTCTTGGTGGTGTAGCTCAGGTCTGTGGGTATAGGAGGTGGGTTTCTTAGAGACACATTCTCTCTTGGTGGTGTAGCTCAGGTCTGTGGGTATAGAATGTGGGTTTCTTAGAGACACATTCTCTCTTGGTGGTGTAGCTCAGGTCTGTGGATACCGGAAGGTGGGTTTCCTAGAGACACATTCTCTCTTGGTGGTGTAGCTCAGGTCTGTGGGTATAGAATGTGGGTTTCTTAGAGACACATTCTCTCTTGGTGGTGTAACTTAGGTTTGTGGATATAGAAGGTGGGTGTCTGGGTGCCACATTCTCACTTGGTGGTGTAACTTAGGTTTGTGGGTATAGAAGGTGGGTGTCTGTGTGCCATGCTCTCTTGGTGGTGTAGCTCAGGTCTGTGGATATAGAAGGTGGGTTTCTTAGAGACACATTCTCTCTGGTGGTGTAACTCAGGGTCTGTGGGTATAGAAGGTGGGTTTCTTAGAGACACATTCTCACTTGGTGGTGTAACTCAGGTCTGTGGGTATAGAATGTGGCTTCTTAGAGACACATTCTCTCTTGGTGGTGTAGCTCAGGTCTGTGGATATAGAAGGTGGGTTTCTTAGAGACACATTCTCACTTGGTGGTATTACTCAGGTCTGTGGGTATAGAATGTGGGTTTCTTAGAGACACATTCTCTCTTGGTGGTGTAACTTAGGTTTGTGGATATAGAAGGTGGGTTTCTTAGAGACACATTTTCACTTGGTGGTGTAACTTAGGTTTGTGGATGTAGAAGGTGGGTGTCTGGATGCTACATTCTCTCTTGGTGGTGTAGCTCAGATCTGTGGGTATAGAAGGTGGGTGTCTGGATGCTACATTCTCACTTGGTGGTGTAACTTAGGTTTGTGGGTATAGAAGGTGGGTGTCTGTGTGCCACGTTCTCTCTTGGTGGTGTAGCTCAGGTCTGTGGATATAGAAGGTGGGTTTCTTAGAGACACATTCTCTCTTGGTGGTGTAACTCAGGTCTGTGGGTATAGAAGGTGGGTTTCTTAGAGACACATTCTCACTTGGTGGTGTAACTCAGGTCTGTGGGTATAGAATGTGGGTTTCTTAGAGACACATTCTCTCTTGGTGGTGTAGCTCAGGTCTGTGGATATAGAAGGTGGGTTTCTTAGAGACACATTCTCACTTGGTGGTGTTACTCAGGTCTGTGGGTATAGAATGTGGGTTTCTTAGAGACACATTCTCTCTTGGTGGTGTAGCTCAGGTCTGTGGATATAGAAGGTGGATTTCTTAGAGACACATTCTCTCTTGGTGGTGTAACTTAGGTTTGTGGATATAGAAGGTGGGTTTCTTAGAGACACATTTTCACTTGGTGGTGTAACTTAGGTTTGTGGATGTAGAAGGTGGGTGTCTGGATGCTACATTCTCTCTTGGTGGTGTAGCTCAGATCTGTGGGTATAGAAGGTGGGTGTCTGGATGCTACATTCTCACTTGGTGGTGTAACTTAGGTTTGTGGGTATAGAAGGTGGGTGTCTGTGTGCCACGTTCTCTCTTGGTGGTGTAGCTCAGGTCTGTGGATATAGAAGGTGGGTTTCTTAGAGACACATTCTCTCTTGGTGGTGTAACTCAGGTCTGTGGGTATAGAATGTGGGTTTCTTAGAGACACATTCTCACTTGGTGGTGTTACTCAGGTCTGTGGGTATAGAATGTGGGTTTCTTAGAGACACATTCTCTCTTGGTGGTGTAGCTCAGGTCTGTGGATATAGAAGGTGGATTTCTTAGAGACACATTCTCTCTTGGTGGTGTAACTTAGGTTTGTGGATATAGAAGGTGGGTTTCTTAGAGACACATTCTCACTTGGTGGTGTAACTTAGGTTTGTGGCTGTACAAGGTGGTTGTCTGGATGCTACATTCTCTCTTGGTGGTGTAGCTCAGATCTGTGGGTATAGAAGGTGGGTGTCTGGATGCTACATTCTCACTTGGTGGTGTAGCTCAGATTTGTGGGTATAGAAGGTGGGTTTCTTAGAGACACATTCTCTCTTGGTGGTGTGGCCCAGGGCCTCCTTTCACAAAGCACTAAGGTGATCGTAAGTGCAATGTTAAAGAATGGGAGCTAAGGTTAACCTCAGTAAACGTTGCTTCGTGAAAGGAGCCCCAGGTCTGAAGGTACAGAAATGTAGTTTACAAACACAAAGTTAAAGACCCACAGACACAAGAGAGAAATGATAGAAATATGCAAGTTGAAATGTCAGCTGTTTATCAAGCACTTTCGACAAGTACAAGCCTCTTCAAGTCATGTATATGGGTATATTTATTCTTACCCCACAGAGTTTATCTTCTGACCTTATTGTTACACCCTGATCTATCATTGTACATTCATCTCCTTCAGACTCTAGTTGCCGAGACCAGAGATGAGCTGGTCACAACCACCAGACAGCTGTTGGAGACCCCTGGGCCGGTTCTGCTGGAGATTAAACTGTCCGTGGGTTCTCGAGGCAACCTGGGTCGACCAACACGAACTCCCATAGAAAACAAGTCTGATTTCATGGAGCATATAGGGTCTGTTTGATGATCTCACTTTTCTAGTGCTGTTTTAGTGTACTGTGTTTAGCTTAACGTATACTACGCAAGATGTTTTTACATGAATATGGTCAATTTGTAATTCTGTGACAGGTAATTTTAGTCTGATGAAAAACTTTATTGTTCATATATTTTAGTGTATGTATATATTTTCTATTCTATGCCCATAATTGTGATGATTATGATTTCAATGGAGAACTAGGGGTGGGGCTTAACTTGAACAGAGACCATATACCGGTCATATATCGGTATATGGTCTCTGACTTGAAACATGTTTTAGATTTTTGACTTTTTTTATATATCTGTCAAAAACAGCCTTCATGTAATCAAACACGTCTTATTATTCTTTTTAATTAGTCACAAATATTTTAAAACTAATGTCATATCAAAATAGCATCTCTTGTGTGTGGTTCTTTCAGTATTCTGTGATGTGTTGGACTTACAATATCTCAGCTGGTGTCTGATCCTTGAAGTGTCCAGTTTAGGAAGTTCAATGGGAGAGCCATTCCTGCTGATGACAGGACAGCCCTGATTAGTTTAGTGGGAGCGGCATTCCTGCTGATTACAGGATGGCCCTGATTAGTTTAGTGGGAGAGCCATTCCTGCTGATTATAGGATGGCCCTGATTAGTTTAGTGGGAGTGCCATTCCTGCTGATTACAGGATGGCCCTGAATAGTTTAGTGGGAGAGCCATTCCTGCTGATTACAGGATGGCCCTGTTTAGTTTAGTGGGAGTGCCATTCCTGCTGATTACAGGATGGCCCTGATTAGTTTAGTGGGAGTGCCATTCCTGCTGATTACAGGATGGCCCTGAATAGTTTAGTGGGAGAGCCATTCCTGCTGATTACAGGGCGGCCCTGAGTAGTTTAGTGGGAGAGCCATTCCTGCTGATTACAGGGCGGCCCTGAGTAGTTTAGTGGGAGAGCCATTCCTGCTGATTACAGGATGGCCCTGAGTAGTTTAGTGGGAGAGCCATTCCTGCTGATTACAGGATGGCCCTGAATAGTTTAGTGGGAGAGCCATTCCTGCTGATTACAGGATGGCCCTGATTAGTTTAGTGGGAGAGCCATTCCTGCTGATTACAGGATGGCCCTGATTAGTTTAGTGGGAGAGCCATTCCTGCTGATTACAGGATGGCCCTGATTAGTTTAGTGGGAGAGCCATTCCTGCTGATTACAGGATGGCCCTGATTAGTTTAGTGGGAGAGCCATTCCTGCTGATTACAGGACTGCCCCTGAGTAGTTTAGTGGGAGAGCCATTCCTGCTGATTACAGGATGGCCCTGAGTAGTTTAGTGGGAGAGCCATTCCTGCTGATTACAGGATGGCCCTGAGTAGTTTAGTGGGAGAGCCATTCCTGCTGATGACAGGGCTGGCCCTGATTAATTTAGTGGGAGAGCCATTCCTGCTGATTACAGGATGGCCCTGATTAGTTTAGTGGGAGAGCCATTCCTGCTGATTACAGGACGGCCCTGATTAGTTTAGTGGGAGAGCCATTCCTGCTGATGACAGGGCGGCCCTGATTAGTTTAGTGGGAGAGCCATTCCTGCTGATGACAGGATGGCCCTGATTAGTTTAGTGGGAGCCATTCCTGCTGATGACAGGATGGCCCTGATAAGTTTAGTGGGAGAGCCATTCCTGCTGATTACAGGGCGGCCCTGAGTAGTTTAGTGGGAGAGCCATTCCTGCTGATTACAGGGCGGCCCTGAGTAGTTTAGTGGGAGAGCCATTCCTGCTGATTACAGGGCGGCCCTGATTAGTTTAGTGGGAGAGCCATTCCTGCTGATTACAGGGCGGCCCTGAGTAGTTTAGTGGGAGAGCCATTCCTGCTGATGACAGGATGGCCCTGATTAGTTTAGTTGGAGTGCCATTCCTGCTGATTACAGGATAGCCCTGATTAGTTTAGTGGGAGAGCCATTCCTGCTGATTACAGGGCGGCCCTGATTAGTTAAGTGGGAGAGCCATTCCTGCTGATTACAGGGCGGCCCTGATTAGTTCCGTAGGAGGGCCATTCCTGCTGATGACAGGACGGCCCTGATTTGCTCACTGGGAGGGATTCACATGAAGATTCTATTATGGAATCTCCGATATTGAGTATCACTACAGCAGTTCCTTTGTCAATCTTCTTGATGATGGGTTATTTCTGAAGCTGTTTATGGCTGTTTACGTGTTATTGTGGCCGCACAGGCTGCCTGAGTTCCTTCTCCAGCTGGTTGATTCCGACCAGACCTCGGTTCATGTTATGTTTAAATGAGGGTCTTGAGTTGCTGTGGAACTGTTGATAAGAGTGGAAATTTCTGGGCTCATACTTTGGTGATTTTTTGTGAGATCACTTAAGTCTCCACAAATGGCTTCAGATTTGAGAATGACATGATGTCATGGGTATATTTGTCTGCATTCTTGTCAAGTTTATTCTTTGACAAGGTGGAAAGGTCTCAGAGCTTGTATGCAATGATTTGAGTTAAGTGTAAGTATATCCATACGTTTGGTGGCACAAGCATTGAGTGTTTAGTTATTACTTTTGACCAGATCAGATCTTTCTTTGGCTACATTGGGTAAGAGCTCAACTTTTAAATGAGCATGGGAATAGACTATTCTTTCTGCAGGTATCCAGGAATTCTAGTTTGTCGGTTCCTTCAGTGGGCTTCCAAATTAAACATTCTTTAACTGGAGGGTTCCACAAACATGGGTACTGATTGAAATGCTTAACAAACAACTGAAGTTGGCAGATTGTGTTAGCCATTACTGTTATGATACAGAGAGCATGTAAGCTGCTATATTTGGGTGTTGGGTTTTCCCAGATTCCAGATGTAGGTCTCAAAAGTTGAGTACAAAATGTCCGATTAGGATTATGCAACATGAAAAAACTGTTCAGATACAGGTATGAAATGGTCTGGTCAGGTAAACATTGAAGTTCAGGAAAACTTATCTTTAGGACAGATCAATTTTATTTCTTGTTTTACGGATCCGCTGGTCATATTTTTTCAAGAATAAGAAAAATAAATATAAAATAATTTTCCCCGCTCAAAAAATAAAATCCTAATGTTTGTATTGGCCAAAAATGTAAACTTACAAGAAATTTTATTTTAGATTGTTATTTGCCCCATATACACTTAATAAATTGCCAAGTAAAATACTTTTAGTATTTAGAAGGAATATTACTTTGACTGGTGATTTTTAAAAACAACATTTTCCTCCTGCCTTTAGGTATTCTGAGGACAAAAATCCGTAAAACAAGAAATGAAATTGGTCTGGCCTTACTATAAAAGTCAAAATGAATGCAAACAATAGTGACTGTGGGTTTTACCATGTACTTGTACTGTAATTGAACAATATATCACAAAGGTAACTACAGGCCTAGGTATTACTGCAGGGGACCGATCCACAAAGTGTTCTTAGCACTACGTCATTCGTAAACTTATGATAAACTGTATACATTGTAGTTACGATAATGTAACAAACTCTTTGTGGATCAAATCCAGGGCCCCATTTCACAACGGATTGTAGTGCTAAGGTGATCGTAACTCCCATACTTTAACATAGTACTTACGACAGTCGTAACCCTACGATCGCTTTGTGAGACAGGGGCCCAAGGACAGCAATAATAATAACAATAATAATAATATTTTATAGAAAAAACTGTTAGATTGTTCAGAATCATTGTTTTTTCGTTAGAAACAATGCGATGCTGAGCTATTTCAATAAACTGTTCTCAGCCTAGTCTCCATTTGAATTCAGTGCCTTCTCTTCTGCATTTCTTGTGCCTTATTGACGTGAAGCTTTTGAAGGCAATATATATATCATTGATGTTAACATTCAGAAAAAGTAATCCAGTTTCCTGATCAATACAACAGCATAGAAAGCATCAGGTTTAGGTCAAAAGATGACAATGTGGTAGATAATGTATTTTTTGCACGGTTTTTATGAGTCTTATAAAACCTGGTATTGACTGTAAAGAAGACAGGCAAGCTGTTTCACCAGTATCTTGCCTGATACCCCAAGCTGTGACACTGGTATCTTTAGTAAACTTGCCTGATACCCCAAGCTGTGACACTGGTATCTTTCATAAACCTGTCTGATATCAATTTGTTAATGTCTTTTCAGCTTTGGGTTACTTGTAATGTCATTTGTTTATAATTTATGAACAGCGGAATACTGTTGTGACTTTGTTGATTTTTGTTCAAATTGTTATGATTGTTGATTTTTCAGAATATTTTAGCACATATTAAATTCTATAAAATGCATGAAGAACAGTTCATGCTTCACATAATAATCAACATTATAGTTTTGCATCTGAGCTTGAAATGTTGGAAAATATTTTTTAAGGATATTTGTGCGGTTATGATGTTATTCTATCAGAGTTGTTTTTCTTCGTGTGTTCATGTAGTTCTTACATCTTAAGCTCACCTATGTGAAAATAATTTTTGATAATTTCATCCATGTTTGTGGAGATGCGATGTTTGTATTGAGACTAGAAATTGCTTGTTTGTCATATTGGAATTTTTTTATTTTGGCAGCTTGTACAATGTAGCTTTGAATTTGGTTTTATTGCAACTTTTTGCAATTTTAAGTGTTTTATTGAAATAGAAAGGATTTTTGTGAGTCTAAAACACACTGCCTTCGGTGAACTTTGTTTGTCAACAATCAAGTTGAATCTCGCCAAACTGCATATATATTTTCTTGTAATATATTTCTGCTCAACATTTTAGAGTTATAATATTCAGAGGGCACGTTACAGCACCATAATATATATTGGAATGAAGCATGCACTGCCTTCATGTTTGAAGACATGTTCTACATTACTATACATATACTGAGAGAAATAAATAAGGGAACAGAAGAAAGTAGGGTTCCTTTAGTCTTTACCAGGATTCTTCACAAGCTCTGGTGCATTGTGGGTGAAAGTCTGGGAAAATATAAAGGAACACTTTAGGAGGGTTGTTCCCTTATTTGTTTCTGTCAGTATATATTGTATACTGATTCATATATCAAAGCTCCAGATAATGTTGTAAGTTATTTATTATTTACTCGTGTATCATTCATACTGGGTAGCTGATGGTTTTCTTCAGGTAGTCAGTACGCCACAACTCCTTTAAATATATCTATTTTTTGTGGTATTTTTTTTTATCAATTTATGTAATTGAGTAAATATTATGGTGTTTTAGGATATATAAAAAAATTTCAGTGCTTGTTCTTTGTTAAAGTTGCACAAG